GCCCTCCTCGCTCTGCATGGTGGCCCGGCCGGTCTTGGGCTTCTGCCCTCTTTCCTAGCAGCTGCTGCTCCCATCCGAGCACCTGTTCTTGGGTGTGGGACTCCCTGCAACTCACCCAAGCCTGGTCTTCTTTAAAACCACTAACCCATACCCAGAGGAGCACGGCTCTAGGCCTTATTCTGGGGGTGCTCAAGTAACTTCAGCTCAACCCAAGCTCCCCTGCAAACTTAGGGCAAAACAGCCCCCTAAGTTACCCCAGAAACCCAGCCGACTTTTTCTTTCCCGCCTAGGAGTCCAGGCCTTAGTCCTCCCTCAGACCCAGGAGTCTAGACCCTAGTCTCCTCCCTCAGACTTAGGGGTCCCTCCCTCAAGTTAGGTTCTGTCCTGTCCACTGAGCTCCGTGTGTCCCTCCAGGCCCAGATGGGGGAACCCCGAGCTGGGGGCCCCCTGGACGACGGCAGCGGCTGGACAGGCAGCGAGGAGGGCAGCGAGTCCGGCACCGGTGGCAGCGAGGGGGCTGGGGGAGATGGGGGCCCAGATGCTGAGGGTGTCTGGAGCCCAGACATTGAGCAAAGTTTCCAGGAGGCCCTGGCCATTTATCCCCCCTGTGGCCGCCGGAAAATCATCCTGTCAGACGAAGGCAAGATGTATGGTGAGTGCACCCCATCTTTTGTCCAGACCACCGAGTAATAATCACAAACACAGATGGAGCTTCACGCGCTGTTGGTGTAAATAAAGAAACTATTCTCTCGGTAACTCTGGGATAGGACGTAGTGTCATCAGTTGTTCATAAGAGGAAACTGAGTCAAGGGGAAGTTATTCCATGTAGTACAGCTGGGCTCCCAGGCAGTTTATCCTATTCCCTCTCTTCCCTACCATGAGCCGAGGATATCCCCAAAGCCCAGCTTGCTGTAGTCCTTTGGGGACCATTGCTGTTGTCACCTTCCCTGGTGTACTTTCTACTGGGAAGTTTTACTGATAGTCTAACTCTCTTCCATTTTTGCCTCTCCAGGTCGGAATGAACTGATTGCCCGCTACATCAAGCTGAGAACAGGGAAAACCCGCACCCGAAAACAGGTCTCAGGATTGACTTCTGTGCTCTGGCAGGCTTGTCTCATTAGGGCAGTCCTTACATGGGCTGCTTCCTGTGTTTCTGCTTATCTCCATGCTGTGTCTGGTGGTCTGGCTTAATTGCCTAATTAAAGATAGTTTCTCCAGTGGTTGTGTCAGAAGTTGAGTGAGATTGAGACCAAAAGAGGCAAAGAGAGCTAGGCATGGTGGTGTGTATACCTGTAGTCCCAACATTGGGGAGACTGAGGCAGGAAGATTGAGAATTCAAGGCCACCTTGAACTACATGGCCAGACCCTGTCTGGGGTTCCAGGGTGGGTGGGGAGGGGGCAGAGGCCCGGTCTGGAAAGATGAGGTGTGAGCTTGGGGGGAAGGCACAGCCTTTGTGGGCAGCGCTGTGCTGGCACCGCCTCCGGCCTGCCTGGGCTGTGTGCCATGGTTTGATTTGGTTCTAGCAGCCCACGGGCACTGGGAGGGGAGGTAAGCGGCTGAGGCCGGCGGTGACTTCTGCCTCGGTTGCTTCTCCATCCGTTCCCTCAGGTCTCCAGCCACATCCAGGTCTTGGCTCGAAGGAAATCAAGGGAGATCCAGTCTAAACTGAAGGTAAGGACCAAGGCACACCCCTAGAGGGAGGGGACGGGGACCTAGAGAGAGAACAGACAGTAAGAGGAGGGGACAGACACCCAGAGGGAGGAATATGGGACAGAGAGTAAAGAAACACAGAGAGAGAGAGACACACACACACACACACACACACACACACACACAAAGAGAGGAAGACAGACTCAGAGGGGACAGGAACCCAAAGGGGAGGGGGCAGAGACCCCAGAGGGAAAGAGACAAGGACTCAGAGAAACAGACAGACAGATCTAGAAAGAGAAGACAGAAACCCAGAGGAAGGGGAAAGAGGACCTAGAGAGAGGGGTCAGGGATCCAGAGGGGGGGGCAGAGATTCAGAGAGGGGACGGGACCTAGAGGGAGGGGGACACGCTCAGAGAGACAGAGATTCAGAGAGAGGGAGACAGACATTCAGAGAGACAGACAGACCGGCACCTCGAGGGAGGGGGACAGACTTGACAGGTGGTGGAGAACTGAGGGTGAGCAAAAGCCACAGTGTTAGAGGGGAGAGGATGGGCAGTGGCTGGGTCAGAGAGAGCTGTCAGGCCTCTCTCTCTTGGCTAGTGTGGTCCCCCCCTCCCTTCCCCCTTGCTCCTCTCCTTTCCTGGTGGTCTCATTTCCTTTTTCTTCTGGAGTTCTGAACACCCCCTTTTACCTCCTCTCCTTCCTCTTCTTTCTCTGTCCGCTCTTTTGGAGTCCAGAAAGGTTTGTTTTCCTGTGGGGAGATTGTCACCCCCAGATTCTTCAGTATCTCCATTTCCTGCTCCTTTTTCACCTGAGACCCTCAATTTCTAACCCCTCGGGGAGGGAGGTCTTCTCTTGTTTCTTCTTTCCCACTGGAAGACACTCACTTCCGGTTTCATTTTGTTTTTTGGACATGGAAGCTTTTCCTTGTTTCTCTCTAGGTCCTGAAACCTTCACTTCCGGCCTCTTCCTCTTACCTTTCTCTGTTCTGTCCTGATTAGGAAAACACTGAACTCCTATTCCCTTGAGATCTGACAGGATCATTTCCTGTCCCCTGGGTATCCGGAAACTTGGACTTCCTATTCCTTCCTGATCTACAAAGGCTCATCACTGTCTTTTATTCTGGGCTTGGCAGCCCCATTTCCCCTGTAGGACTGGCTACCTCCGCTTTCTGCTCCCCAGGGTCAGGGTGGCGGGGTAGGTGGGCAGGTAGGTCAGGGAGGTGGGGAGCCCAGGCTTCCCCTCCTAAGTCTTGTTTTCTTTCCTCCTTGGGCAGGCCCTGAATGTGGTAAGTCCCCACCATACTTATCCTCCTACCCAAGCTGCCCCTTGTACTCCTGCCCAATCCCTTAAGAGCAGCAGAGGCAGAAAGAAGGAGTTCGATGTACTTACTCCTTAACCCTTTGCCTTGAACTCCCCAAGTCTGCAGCTCCCCATCCTTGCCTGCCCCCTTCCCCCTGCTCTCTTGGCCAGGACTCTTTGCACATAGACTCTACCCTTTTCCGCCCAGGATCAGGTCTGTAAGGACAAGGCTTTCCAGACCATGGCTACGATGTCCTCCGCACAGCTCATCTCAGCACCTTCCCTTCAGGCCAAACTGGGTCCGGCCGGCCCCCAGGTCACCTGGGTAGGGATTGGGCGGGGGGTTGGGACTCCAGGGACCAAGAGACCAGCTGACCCCCTTCTTCGTCTCCTCTCTAGGCCACTGAGCTTTTCCAGTTTTGGTCAGGGAGTTCTGGACCACCCTGGAATGTTCCAGAGTGAGTACCTCTGTCCTGACCCTCCCTTGTACCTTGCACATTTTCACCCCATTTGCTAATTTATTGGACATAGATTCTGGAGCCTAGCTGTGTGTGTGTGTGTGTGTGTGTGTGTGTGTGTGTGTGTGTGTTATGGGGCTTGAACTCAGGACCTGGGTGCTGTCCCTGAGTTCTTGTTTGTTCAAGGCTAGCAGTCTACCACTTTAAGCCACAGCTCCACGTCTAGACTTTCCTTCCCCAGCTGGCTTTTGAACTGAGATCCTCAGATCTCAGTCTCCTGAGTAGCTATAGGATGACAGGTGTAAGCCACCCGCACCCGGCAGGAGCCAGGCTATTTGAGTCTGAGCCCTGTCCTTTACTGGGTAGGACTTTGAAGGATGAATCCCCTTCTTCCCCCCATTTCCTTACCTCTGGAGTAGGGGTTTGTGGATATAGGAGTTCAAAGTGAGTTACCGGGATTAGAGGGAGGATCCAACGTATAGTCAGTGCTGGGGACCAGAAGGGCATGGGGACATGAGGAGGAGGAGGAGGAGGAGGAGGGATGGGTTAGAAGCTGTCAGGCTGGGCAGTGAGGTCAGTGCTGAGGACTCAAGTTGGTGGGATCATCAGGAGATGTGCAGCCCTGGAAGGAGCACATATGGGAACGAAAGGAGTCCATTTTCGAATTTGGTGAGTGGGCAGGGCCCACTGGAGGATGTTCAGGGGAGTAATAGTCTCTCCCAATGGGCATGCTCAGGCCTAGAGGATTATGGGAGAGCAGCTGTAGGTCTCAGAGGCTCCTGAGCCAGGAAGAGGAGCCCTAGAGGCTCTTGGGAAGAGTGACTTTTCACCCTACTGAGTCTGGTTCTTGGCTTGAGAATGGAATAAGGTTCTTAGACCTTTTCTTAGAGGTCCAGGAGAGCGTTCTTGTGAGATCTGAGGGTGACAGGATGGCCTACAGCCATAGACATGGGCTCCAGAGGCTCATGGGAAGTGAACTTTTCAGCCCAGATTGGAGTCAGTGGACCCAATCAATCAGACCACAGTGGAGTCAGGGACCAATGTCCATAGACTAGTCATTGGTTGGGCAGGATGGTGAAGCAGGAGTGGCAAAGGTATTGCCTCTCCTCCCCCCGCCCAAAAAGGAAGGTAACAGCTTGTCCCCAGACAAGCTCTCCTCCTCTCCCCCCCCCCACAAAAGCAAAACAGTTTAAAGAAATCAAAGTTTCAGATCTTCAGGTATCCTAGCTTCGCTAGCCTGGAGTAGGCCACAGGTAGCAATGGGCAGATCCCACAAATGGGAAGTTCCATTGGCTTGAACCATGCCTCCGGCCCCGATTTTCACCGGTTAATTTTAGAATAGGGTCTTGTTTCCTACTCTAGGGCATGCCTACTGAAGCCTTTTCATTGTGCTGGGGGTCACAAGTATGTGACACAAGTATGTGTCACATACTTGTGACCCCCACATCCACCTTCTCTACCTACACACAAGAGTCTCACGGACTTTTCTGCCAGCACTGGCCTGGTACAAGATCCTCCTGATCTTAGCCTCCCATGGTGTAGCTTTGTTTACCCTTCTGCGCTTTTGTGAGAGGCACCACCATGCTGCTATGCAAAGCATGAAACTCCAGTTTCATGGTTGGGACTGACCTGGGTTGGAATCCTGGTTCCACTGTGCTCCAGCCATGTGTGGGCCAGGCTTGTCATGGACTCCCATCAACGTTAGCTAGTCGTGGATTCACTATGCTGCCTCCTTCTCTCCAATGACAAGCGATTCATTCCACCACTGAGCAGAATATTAGAGTTTAGCTTTCAGAATTGGGATGACAAGGGCTAGAGCAGAGGCCCTGGGAGTCAGGGTGTGAAGGCCCCAGGAGTTTGCCTTTCTGATCTTGGCCTTTTGGCCCTTGACCTCTTCCATACCTCTGACACTCCCCCTCCCCCCCATCTCTGGTCCCTCTGATCTCTTCCCTCAGTGTGAAGCCATTCTCACAGACAGCATTCTCCCTGTCACTGACGCCCCCATCTACTGATCTTCCAGGTAAGAACCTACTCCCCACCTTTCCTATCTTTCCCTCTCTTGTCATCCTAATCGGCCCCTCATCAGGGGATGCATTTGTTCTGAGGCATCATGTGCGCATGCGCGGCAAGGCAGCTGTCGAAATTTATACAGCATGGTTTCTGTAGCAGTCAGAAACCCTGGGTTTGTGTTCTGTCGTCAGCTGCTAGCTCAGGAGACTTCCAGGAAGTAGAGTGGGTTAGTCAAAGGTCTTTTAGCTGCATGTAATAGAAACCCAAAAGAGGAGGCGAATTGAATGGTTGAAGCAATGAGAGAGAGAAAAAGAGGGAGGGAAGGAGAAAAGATAGCAGCAGGGCCAAGATGGCTTGCTTCCAGAAGTCCATGCTGACCTTTGGTTATACGTAGTCTCTCACAGTAAAGGCTTTAATGATTCCATAGAACACAAAATCTGGAGGTGGGCTGCTCTTGTGCTGGCTCGCCAGCTCAGCAATATCAGCACCAATGTTTTCATAGTTCCCTTGGCCTTTGTCTTACTGTGCCAGGACGGCTGCTGTGACTACAGGCATCACACCCCAACCAGCACTTGGCCAGGGAGAAAAGCCTTTCTCCTTCCAAAGTTCTCTCTTTCATTCAGGAAGAAACTCCTTCCCAGAAGCCCCCCAGCAGATATCCCCTAACGTCTCATTGGCCAGGACTGTGTCACATGGCCACCTCTAGCTGCATGGGAGGCTGGGAAAGTGAGTATTTAGCTTTTTCAGCTTCTAAGTGGAGGCAGGCAAGAGAGAACCAGTGCCTGATTCAGTCAGTAAATGTTAGTAGTCTTTATGGTTCTTTCTCCCTCTTTCTTTTTTTTAGGGTACGAGCCCCCCCAAGCCCTCTCACCCCTGCCCCCACCTGCTCCATCACCGCCAGCCTGGCAGGCTCGGGCCCTGGGCACTGCCCGATTGCAGCTGGTGGAATTCTCTGCTTTTGTGGAACCCCCGGATGCAGTGGACTCTGTGAGTTTAATTTGGAGACAGTTCCTGGGTGCTTTTAGCAGGTACAGAGGGAGAAGGGAGAGGAGGTGTGGAGCACTAGCCCCTCCCCAAATATTAGCATATGTTAGAATTCAAATGAGATGGGATTTACCTGCTGATTGGGACAATCTTTGAGAACAGCTTCACTCTACTCTGAAGGAGCTGGCATGGGGGTCAGAGGTCAGGGAAGAGGTCAAAGGTCAAAAGGCTTTTACAAACAGAATTGCTGCTGGATTTGATGAAGGCTTCCAAAACCGTATCTGGGGGCTGGGAAGTTGGCTCAGTGGTAGAGCGCTTGCCTTGCATGCTCAAGGCCCTGGGTTCGATTGCTCAGCACCACATAAGCAAAAAGAAAAAAGCCGGAAGTGGCACTGTGGCTCAAGTGGTAGAGCGCTAGCCTTGAGCTGAAGAGCTGAGGGACAGTGCCCAGGCCCAGAGTTCAGACCCCACGACTGGAGCCCCCCCCCAAAAAAACAAAACTAAAACTGTATCTGTAGCAGTCTTCTAGGTGATGTCGGTGAAGCTGTTCTCGGTCTACCCTTTTGAGAATCACCAGCATTAAGGAACTGGAAGGTTGTGAGCGGGGGAAAGGTCAGAGACACTCCCCAGGAAATCAGTATTCATTGTCAGACATGTTGAAATTCCTAGTTGGCTTTGTGATATTAGGAAACTAGAAAAGCAGATCTTATTTCTGGGCTAAGATACAAAAAGATGCAGAACGAAGGGCTGGGAATGTGGCTCAGTGGTAGAGTGCTTGCATTGAATGCATGAGACCCTGGGTTCGATTCCTCAGCACCACATAAGCAGAAAAAGCTGTAAGTGGGGCTAATGCTCAAGTGGTAGAGCGCTAGTCTACAGCCAAAGAGCTAAGGCACAGCACCCAGGCCAAGAGTTCAGGTCCCGCGACTGACAAAAAAAGAAAAAGAAAAAAAGATGCAGAACTAGTCAGGTGGGCTGACTATTGGAAGAAACAACTTCCAACTCTTAAGGAATGAACAGCATAGAAGTTTCTCATTCCTGACTTTTTTTGTTGCTCATGGGGCTTGAACTCTGGGCCTGGGTGTGCTCTACCGCTTGAGCCACAGCACCACTTCTGGTTTCTGGTGGTTCATTGGAGATAAAGAGTCTCACAGACTTTCATACAGGGCTGACCTTAAACTGCAATCCTCAGATCTCAGCCATCTGAGTAGCTTGGATTGCAGGTGTGAGCCACCAGCATTCTACTCTGCTCCTGCTTTTTTTTTTTTTTGGTCCGGTCATGGGGCCTGAACTCTGGGTCTGGGCGCTGTCCCTCAGCTCTTCAGCTCAAGGCTAGCGCTCTACCACTTGA